CCCGGACCGGCTCTCCGTGAACTCATCCGCCAGTCTCCCGGCCTCCTGGGGGTTCTCTGGTCTCCGGTCCTTGAGCCACAGCCTCAGTTTGGGTGGGCACGCTTCATAGAACTGCTCCATCATGACCAGCTTGAGCAGCTCCTCTGCGGTCTGGGCTCCGACTCCAGACACCCACTTGCGGCAGTATTGCGCCAGGCGGGAGGCCAGGTCCACATAGGTCTCCCGTGGCCCTTTCTGTACCCCCCGGAACTTCTTCCTGTACATCTCGGGGGTCAGCCCGAACTTGTGCAGCAGGGCCTCCTTGACTCGGTTGTAATCCCCTGGCTGTAGGTCCTCCAGCTGACTGAGCACTCCGGCCGCCTCCTGGTTCAGTGCGGGGATGAGCTCCTGCAGCCAGTCAGCTGGGGGAACCCGTTGCAGTCCACAGGCCCTCTCAAAGGCACTGAGGAACCCGTCTATGTCACCCATGTCCTTCAATTGGGCCACCATGAGCCTCTCCAAGCGTCTGGCAGTCCTGGGACCCTGGGGCCCATCCGCACTTGGCGCAGCCGGTGCCCCGCCGGTTCTCCGCTCTGCCATGGCCAGCTCATGCTGCCGCTGCCTCTCTCGATCTTGGCGATCCCTTTCTCGGTCCTGGCGGTCCCTCTCTCGGTCCTCTACTTCCAATTCCTTGATCCGCAGCTGGATCTCCAGCCGCCGCAGCTCCGCTGGGCTGGCCCCTGCCCTAGATGGGCTACGGCTTGCAGGCCTCCCGGGAGACGCTGTCTCATCTCTCCGTTGGGTTCCAGCGCTCCTCCCCCTCTCTGAGCCTGACACACTCTCAGGGGGGGTCTGGCTGCTTCCCCTGGGGACAAGATCCTGGCCCTGTGGCTGGGCATTATCTTCCAGCTGGGCAATCAGCTGGGCCTTGGTTGCTTTCTGCACAGGCAAGCCCCTCTCTCTGCACAGCCCCACCAGCTCTGCCTTCAAGAGTCGGGCGTAGGCCATCTGCCCGCTGGGCCCCTCGGTGCAGACTCACCAGTCTAGTGCTGCAGCGCCCCACGATTCCCAGGAACCGCTTCGCTCTGTCTCCAGCATGCCTGGCTCCAGGGCTCTTGCTTCTACTGCGCCTTATCGCTCGCCGCTGGAAGCTCCATCCACGGGGTGCAGTGCATCCCACTTCTGACACCAATGTGACAGCGCGTTGGGGGTTCCCCGTCTCCTGCACCCCGAAATGGCACAAACAGACTGCACCAGCCAGTGGAATTGAGGGTGGTTTATTGCTCCTCCAGCACAGCGCAGCACAGATGTAATCTGGTTACAGGAACTGGGGGCTAAGAGGTCTCAATGCCCCCCTTGAGATAGGGGAGTCCCAGCCCCCTCCCCAGCTCCTTCTTCTCTGCCTTCCAGCCAGCAACTAACTAACCCTCTTCCAGCCCTGCCCCCCAGTCAGGGCAGCATTCCACCTTCCTTTGTTCCTCTCCGTGGGGGGTGTCTGGCCACTGGTTCAACAAGTTTGGAACTACCTTTGCATAGTGAGGTTTTCCCTGCTGGGTCTTGCTCCAGACAGCAGGGGTCACCACAGCCCAGCAAGTACCCCCACTACGTCACAGAGGGTAAAGATGAATTGCCATCTGCTTATAGATTTGCTGCTCATGTAGTCTTGCTCAAAACGTGTTTTCATAGCAAGGAAGAATAGTTTTAAAAATGAATTAACCATCTATGCCTCTTTCTAACTCTTTACACTTGGTAATTACAGATAGAGTTCCAACTGAAACTTCTGCCTATGCCACTTTGAGACACAGCATCCCATCTGGACAGGAAGAACTGATCCTTTTGCAGGAACAGGTGAAGAAGGGAACAATTACGGTGGATGAAGCACTTGAGAAATTTAAACAATGGCAGACTGAAAAAAGCAGATTAGAAGTCACACAGAAGGTATACTGCTGAAGGATTATGTTTGCTTGTAGCACATCTTGTTCAAGAGTTAGGGACCTAAATTTGGGGTCCTAAATCCATACTGAGGGCATCCAAATAAATGTTCATATATACTGCAGATGTGATTCCCACCTTGGGAAGACAGACTTGCCTGAGTTCTGTTCAAGCTAGTGCACTAAAAGTAAAAGTATGAACATTGCAGCAGTGTCATAGGCTAGCCACACAAGTTCATATCCAAGAGTTAAGTAGGCATTGACTCAGACAGCTAGCCTTAGCCCCAATATACTGTAGTATCCACACTGCTCTTTCTACCATCCTAGCTCAAGTAGAACTAGCACAAGTCTGTCTTTCTGCACTGGGAATTTGGCCAGTATAGACATACTCAGGGGGCTGAAATTTTATCTGATTTCAGTGAAAGCAAGTGGGTTGTCAACATGTAATTTAGGTGGAGTGTCTTGGTATCTAACAGTAGATTTAGAACAGAGCTTTTGCGCCATTTTGTTGATGCTTGTTTTGTTTTATTTTTTTTAATCTTGTTCTTATGGTTTTGACCATCTGTGAAAGCTGTGTAACACCTATGAAAAAGAATTGCCTTTGAATTCTTCACCATAAGCCTTCTCTCACTGAATAAACTGAGCCCTTCTCAATTACATAAGGAGAACCAGCTCCCAAAATGAAAAGAGTGGCCTAGTGGAAGTTTTACCATTTCATATATATAGGACACGAGCACGTTTACCCAGCATTGCTCAGATCCTTTAAGAGGGCTCAGGGTAAGGAGCTTGGTGTGGGGGGAGGGGGGGGAGGTGCAAGAGTCAGGTTGGGGCTGTGAGGAGTGCAGAAGATTCTATGCGTGTGTGTGCGTGTGTGTAGGGGGGTGGATGAGAAGGGCAGGGAGGGGCTTAGCCCTCTTCTTCCACCAATCCGAGATTTTTACTAAGGTGGCTTGTTCTTCGCCTCCCTGTCCCCGTCACGGAGCGAGAGCAAAGTGCGCAGCTCATCTGTCCCCTCTGCTCGCCAGCCAGAGTAAGGAATGCAGCAAACTGTGTATTTTCCTCTCACTCTCTCATGAAGGGGAGCAGCCAACAATGTTCCTTTACAAATCAGGAGGAGTTTCAGTATACCCGGCCCTCCCAAAGGGGCGCCTAAATGGTGTGGGCAGTGCCAGATAGGAGGAGAGAGAGTGACTCCCCAGCCAGCCTCTTTCACCTGCCTGGTGGTTGTCTCTCTTCTATATGGTTTGATGAGAAGCAATCACATTCCAGGCACATCCCATTTTCCTGATACAACCAAACCCCGACCTTGCTTTAGGTTATGATAAGAGAAAGCTTTATACCGAATTTGTCTTTGTTCAAGAACTCTTCCAGACAGATACATTCTCTCACACCCACCACTAAAATAGAATCACTTGTGTACTGCAGCAAAGCAATCTCTATGCTGGCAGTAGCCCCACCAGCACTTATTAGGAGGACAAAGAAATGAAGTGAAAAATAAGATCTCTTCCAGATTCCGTAGACCATGATCCCACCGCTGTATTTGTATTCATGCTGAATAGTATTTTATTGTGAGTAGCCCCATTAAAATGTCTATTGCAGTTTGTAGTTCACATGTTATGCATGGGCTTAAATTTGTTCCCACTAAACATTTGTTTTAAACAGAAAATAAATATTTAACAAACAGTGTATTTGCAGACAATCAGTGGGATTATATGAGTAATAAAACACTATTTAGGGTTGTAGAATCAGGTCCTAAGGGTTCTTGCTACTAGCAATTGGCTAGAAAAATGATTCTCTCCTGTTACGGCTACAAAAGCTGATGCAGACTGTCTAAATCTATGTAGACAGGAATGTAACTATCATCTAGCCCTGGATGACTGGCTGATGGCTTGGGGATACATGCTGAAACGTAAAGGCTGCATCTGTGGAGCCGCATAACATTCTTCCTAAACTTTTCAATGGCTTTCCTGTGGTGAGAAGTTAAATGATCAGAGTACTAAAAAGCCTGCTCTTTCCAGTGTTCATTCATTATTTTAATAATAATGATTTATATCATTATTGTTGTTTGTGTGTTTCTCTTCTATTTAAGGAAAAAGTACGCCAGCTCAGAAATACCATCATCGGAAACAGACCGGAAGAAGAAATTTTGTATGGTAAATCATATCTAAGTAGCATTTTTTAAAAATGAAAACATGAACTGGGGATATATATGCAATATCTTTCCTGAGGTCCCAATCCAAATCCCAGATTGGCCTTTAAATCAGATCCTAATGTACTTTGCATCTTGGTTTAACTCACAGTTATTACTTTAATGTAATACAGACTTGATCATCTTTTAGGGTGAAATCCTGACCCTTCTGAAGTCAGTGGGATTATTGCCATTAACTTCAGTTGAGGCCAGAATTTCACCGTCGGTGTCTACTGCTCTGTTTTCCTTACTGTGTTTATTAATAAAGTGTAAGGAAATTGGTTGCCCACTTTAAGTATCAATATCAGTTTATTGGTAAATGTTAGTATTTTTTCTTATATGTCACTCAGCAGTGAACACCCATTCATTTTTACTAACTTGTTCGCTATTCAAAATTATTCTCTTGTGCCTGTGAATTGTTCAGAAGCTGCTTGTTGCAAGAGCTCTTTCACATAGTTGGTCTTTATGATCTATTATGCGACCTGTAGTTTTTTTCATTATTGGTTTTGTTCTTGACAGGATTACCTGCATGTTATAAACTACTTGCATTTCTGTCCCAAACAAATTTCATCCTCTCTTAAAACTAAGTTTGCTTCACACTTAAACAAATCTTGAGTATAGACCTGAAATTTTTCTCAAATATTTATACAAAAAAACTCTGTTCATAGAATGTTTTTTTTAAAAATAGAATTTTGCATTGTGCACATTCTATCTCCAAATCATAAAATGTTTGCAAATTGTTTTTTCCACTGCTCCCCACTGCTAATCCGGAAATCACCCACGCTATTGTTTTCCTGATGACATTTTGAAAACTATGCACTTACATAATTTGATGATTAATGTGCTTGTGGTAATTTGATAGAACTCAGTAATCACTGAGTACTCTTTGGACTACTAAGGACCATTTTTAAAATTAAATATAAAATAGGTACCTTTCAACAGGTACTCACTCATGTAACTACGGGTTGTTTCTAAATATTAATACTAATTGATTGCCAATTAAAGTGAACGTGAAATCCCATTAAAAATAATTGAACTTGTCCTGTTTAATTGTGACAATTAGTATGAAATATTAAAGTGGTTTAAAAAATTTATCCTTCATATATACCTATAGTGTGTGTGTGTGAGTGTACAGATAATACTTTATCTATTTTTACACACCTATATATTAATCAGTCCAGAGAGGGGAAATTTATATACATACACACGTATTTTAAGGCCAGAAAGATAGTAAAGCAAATAATGCATTCTAACAATATTTTTCCTCCCAACAGACAAAATCACCATTGAACATCATCCTCATGGTACGTGATACTAGCTTCCTGGGCAGAAATTCCAAGTTGTATGGCTGGTTTCTTTGAAATTATGCACTTTGGTTAGCTGAGTGGAACAGTAGTAACCTAGGGTATGTCTACACTACCACCCTAGTTCGAACTAGGGTGGTAGTGTAGACATACCCTAGGTTACTACTGTTCCACTCAGCTAACCAAAGTGCATAATTTCAAAGAAACCAGCCATACAACTTGGAATTTCTGCCCAGGAAGCTAGTACCGTTACTCCTCGTGAAACATGAAAATGCCATTTTTCAAACGCCATTTTTAAATATCCGCTAGTGCGGACTCTGTGCCTTGCGGCTGCACGCAGCAGCCTAGTCTGAACTACCTAGTCCGTGCTGCGTGTAGCCGCGCAGCACAGAGTCCGTACTAGCGGACATTTAAAAATGGCGGCACCCGGCTTTATGCAAATGAAGCCCGGGAAATTCAAATCACGGGCTTCATTTGTAACTCCGGTTGCCTACATTACCACGCTAGTTCAAACTAGGGTGGTAGTGTAGACATACCCCTAGAGGTTTTGCATTTCAGTCTTCAAGTCCCCTCCTTACCAGGAGCTTTGAATACAGTACCCGTGAAATGACTGAATCCCTATCAACTTTCACAATAGTGCTCACAGACCCTGAGTTAATATTCAGAATCCCTCCCTTCCTAGAGTTGGGTTGTACTGGTAGTTCACAAACAGTTACTTGATATAAACCTCAAATTAAACTTGCTCTCTGAGTTTGGTTCTTTCCTAGTGTTTTCCTCTAGGACCATCTGTGTTCCAGTTCTCTCTGGTTTGCTTTCTCCTGGGTGCACTTAATGAACCATGCCTGCCACCTGAACCTTCAAGGTCAACAGGAGAACTTGCCATTCTGAGTGAAATTCTATTGTGCGCATTATGTGGGTCAGACTAGCCAGTGAGAATGGTCCCTTCAAGTCTTCACTGTATGAATCCTATTACAGTGTTTTATGTCACTCTGAAGTGAATCTCTCTGGCTGGCATTCCAAATGGGCTTAAGACAGAAATTTATCAACCCTTCTTGAATGGGAAATACAAGGCAGAGATATAAAAGGAGGAGAAATGGGGCAGAACTTGCCAGGATCCCAGATCCTTTTGAAACAAATTTTAATTACTGATGGCCTGACCCAGGGGTGGGCAACCTTTTTTTTTTTTTAGTTTGGGGGCTGCTGACTCATGGAAAAAATCACTCAGGGGCCACATACAAATGAGAAGAAAACAAAAAAAAAATCCTTATGGACATGGCTCCCAACTGAGAATGAGAAAGATGCTCCCCACATTCCCCTTGCACACCAGAGCCCAGGGGAGCCCAGCCTAGTAGATTTTGTGTGCTCCAGGCTCAGGGGGGCATGGTGGGGGCACTTGAGCACCAGTGCAGGCTGCCCAGTGCTAGGGGAAGTCCCAAGTCCTAGGGGCTAGAACCAGACAAGCTGGGGACCGTGTCTGGCTCCTGGTCCTTAGGTTCCCCACTACTGGCCTAATCTTTGCGTTCTTATACAAAATTCCCACTCGGTTAATTGTAGAAGTAATGAGTGCAAGGCTGGGAAATTAGAAGGTTACATCTCTGTTCTGTCTGTCTAACAGGTGTTTATTTGTGGCTGGAAAAAATGACAGTAGCATTTTTTTCTCTTTCTTTAGTTTCTAAGGAAAGCAGAAGGGAAAGCCTTCCTTTTAAAGACACGATGTATGACACAACATATTACAAACTGGTACGTATAGATATTTTCATAACTCCCATATTTAAATTTGAATTAATTTGAATTTGAAATATGTAGATACCAGGTTTCAAACATAGGCTCCTTAACCATATCTCCATATCCCCCTTTTGGACTCTCAGATTTGGCTGTCCTATTCAGTAGCCATGTTTAAAGATTAGAGCTAGCATGAACACTTACTATTACTATACCATTAGCTTATTCATACCAGGAGTTTAATTATCTTTGTAAACAAGTGAGGGAGAACTGAATTTTGCTTTTTATAGTCACAAATGTGGTTTTTAAATTTCTTAATATTGCTGTTGATCTTCTCCCCAGTAAAGTCAGTAGAAACTGCTATAACCTTCAGTTATATCAGGTTATACTCAGTCTTCTACAACATTAATTCAGTTCTTCCTATCTTTGGTTCCCCAAAGTACTACTTTATGTACCTATTAATATATGATTTATTAATGGAAAAATATGCCTTTTGAGGGCAACAATAGAATTTATCTTGACTCTCTTTTTTTTGGGGGGGGGGGGGAATACAAGTAGGATAGACCAGATTTTAACAATCACTACTGCTAAATAGGAGATCAGTGTGTAGCACATGCTAGTTGCACAAGCACCAAATATGGACATAGAAAACACTTCATTTTTTATAAGGCTGATTCTCTAATCACAATTAAAATGACACTCATTTAGGCATGGATACGATCACATTTCTGTTGCATTCTCATAGAACTTCTGAAAGAGGATTTTTTTTCAACATTTGGCCCAGTCTAGACAGGCCAAATGTCAGAAAAGACTCTTCTGACAAAATAATCGGAAAAAGGTATACAATTTGTGGAGCACATTTTGCATTCCTTTTTCTGACAAAAACTTGTAGTCTATTCATATCCTGAGAGGAAAGGGAAAGTATGTACAAAAATCTGAGACAGATGATAAATAGCAATTGACCTAAATCATAAAATACTTACTTTTATTTTGAACAAACCCACCAATTCAAAGTGTTAATGAAATATGGAGCCTGTTATTGGATTTTGAATTCTTTGTTTCTCCCTGAAACAAAATACAGGACTATGTAGCACTTTAAAGACTAACAAGATGGTTTATTAGATGATGAGCTTTCGTGGGCCAGACCCACTTCCTCAGATCAAATAGTGGAAGAAAATTGTCACAACCATCTATACCAAAGGATACAATTTAAAAAAATAACACATATGAAAAGGACAAATAGTCCTGTACACCAGACTAACACGCTACATTTCTATCACTTGTATCTCCCTGTTATTAGGAATGAAATTATTCAAAGTCATGGTCACTCACTAAGTTCCCAGGAGAAAAAAAAGCCTATGAAAGAGCTCCCAAACTCATGTTCTTTCCTCGGAATTATCTCATTGGCAGGAATGGGAGGCGGCATCACTTAAACTCTATGGAATGAGCAAGACCCAAGATGATAAAGACTATGGCTATGATGTTCTCATAGTGTCCCACTGTCTTTACAGTACTGCCTAACTTCACAATCTCCCTCAGAAACCACTCCATCCTTGCAGTTGCACATCCCCAGACATGCAGGAGGGAACCTTGTATACTCAGAAGAAAGAGTCAGACCCACTTCAGCTCACTCTCCCTCAAACACCTATTTTTATAGAAGTTAGGCAGTTCCCCCACCTTCTATAGCATTTTCTATATTTAATATTTAGTGGCTGCCAGAAATATAGAAAGGATATTGGAGAATTTAAAGCAGAACTTTAAAAATTAACATATCACTTTCTGTCAAAACAGTACTTCACTCTTAATTGTGGAATTTGTGACCTTACTAGATTGTTCAACAGTCTGTATTGTCCTAACTGGTTATGTCATGTTCCAGGATGCTTATAAATTGTATGCATCTCTTTAGGCTCCACCTCGAAACCCATCAGAAAAGGAACAGATGCCTAAGGATAATTAATGGAGGTAAGCACATATATACATTATTTATTTTGATATTAAACAATTCCTAAAAATGCTTCATATCAGTGGGTATGTCTAGACTACATGGCTCCTTCGAGCCAGTTGTGTTTCTGACTCAGCTCATATTTGCTACTGTACTGCGTCTGAGAGAGCTCATTGAAATCTGACTAAAAATCAGGGCCATAACTATAATACAGAACACTATGTACTGTAGCACTATGTGCATTTCTGTTTATTGCAGTCGTGATACCAGGATTATGGTTGAGATGTCACTTCTAGCCCATGGTTAAGCATATGCATCACTGGGTACGTCTAGACTACATGGCTCCATCAACAAAGCCATGTAAACGAGTTTACCCGACATAGTCAATGAAGCAGGGATTTAAATAATCTCCATTTCATTCAAATAAAAATGTCCGCCATGCTGTGCCAACAATCAGCTGATCTGGCCCAGCACGGCAGTCTAGACGCAGATTTGTTACTAGAGCCTGTTTTTCCATAGGGAAGAGCTAATCCCTTTCAATTATCTTCTGTGCCTCCTCTCTATCTTCAGTGATGTGTGGTAAGGGCCCATATAGGGCTGGGCATAGAGAGGAGTAAAGGGGGTAATGTTGGGCCAAATTCCCCCCTAAGCTTGGGAGAGGCTATGCACTTGCGTGTAAGTTACATTTCTCACTGCAGGGCGGATTTTTGCTTTTCTGAGCTTCTGTCTCATCCCTCAGGGCTTTAATTTCTTTCTCTGTCAATCTGTCAAATGCTTACAGGTCCTTGGACCTTGATGCACGTACATGTAGCATGCAGGGGTGCCTTTCAGCGGTATGGGGGGTATGCTTAGACTGATCCCCATCCATTTTAGTCATTCAGGGGAGCATCCTGTCCACTCCCCGTCTGTTCAGTGGCTTATAGGAAACTAAATCTACACACTCCAAAGAAGGGGTCTGCTGGGTCTAGAGAGTCAGACCTTATCAGCAGCTCATGAAATAAGGGGAGTCGTCACTCCCTCACATATCTGCTCGGTCTCGAGGTTTGGCTGACCCCCCCTTTGCATTCAGAACTCCCTTGAGGGAGAGCCCTGGTGCGGCTGGAATCAGCTTACTTCTCAGAGACTTGGGCAGCGGGATTCACGCTCCACTCATTACATTCGCACTCAGCATGCTTTTTACACAGAAATTTTCCCACTTTTAGATGCATCTCTCATTATGGACCTCATCCATATTTGGGGCGGCAAACAACACGTTTCCCCCCAGAACCACAGCAGTTCCCAGCACTGCATAAACCTAGGTGCCTTATGTCCGGACGCAATACAACCTTCTTCCCGTACCCGGGGTGGCACCACCAGAACCACAGCAGTTCCCAGCACTGCGTAAACTTAGGCCTACTCAGGGATAACAAAACAACCTCCCCTGGAACCAGGGTTTGTTGTTGCTGGCTCTGTCTGTGACTCTCCTTTACCCACTCCATAAACTGAGCGGGGTCCATGTCTGGGCGCGACACCGGGGTTACAACCCCTGTTCCGCCAACACCGTAAAACAAAACCCCAGGTTAATCCTCTCCCAAATTTCGCAACAACCCCCCCCCTTTTTTTTTAAGGCTTACCCCTCCAGCCCCTTGTGTCAGGGGCGGGATCGCCTAATACCCACATTCTCCACCATCTTGTGACGTATCCCACATGTCACTCCCACGAGTAGTTAATTAAATCCAAATATTTCTCTCTGCGTGGCCCGTCTTCATTTTCTGCACCCTTGGTATGAAGGGAGGGGAAGGGGGGCCCGGGCCCGCCCCCACTCAAGGGCCCCGGCCCAGGGCCCTGAGGGCTAGGATCCAGAGAGACCCAGCCCGGCTGACGGGGTTCAAGACCGCAACTTGCCAGCCCATCCAGCCTCTGCCCTGGGCCGATATCTTCCCCGCCCTTCCCGGGGCTACCTCGCGGCCAAGGCCCTGGACGGCTTTCTTACCACAAGCCCGTGGGCCGGAGGTGCGTTCAGTCTGTTGGATGGGGTTGGTTCCTTGTCCGAGGACCTATTTTTCGTCCCCGTTGCCGGGACCTGTGGAGGAGGAGGCTCTCTTCCTCCCCCCCCCCTCCACTGCGGGAGCCATTTTAAAAGTCCCGCCAGGGCCGTGACCCCGTCTGCCCCCGGAGTTCCCTCCCCCCGCGTTCGCGATGCTTGATGTTGCCGCGGCAACATTCCGGACGCCCCGGCAGCTTCTCGCTGACTCCGGGCGTCCTGTTCCTCAGTCGGGCTGGATGCGCGGTGGCCGAACAGCCCGGGCAGGGAGGAATCACCCCAGGCTGCCAGCTGTATAGCGCGTCCCAGACTTCCTCTCCTATGCGGGGCGGGCACGCTCCGTCACGCAGTGGATCAGTCGACAAGGGAAGCCTTTGTCGACCGCTCCTGATCTGGCAGAGCACGGCAGTCTAGACACGGATTGGTCGACAAGGGAAGCCTTTGTCGACCGCTCCTGTAAACCTCATTTCATGAGGCATAAGGGAGCAGTCAACAAAGGCTTCCCTTGTCGATCGATCCATGTCTAGACTGCCGCGCTGTACCGGATCAGCTGATTGTCGGACCAGCGTGGCGGACATTTTTATTTTAATGGAGCAGAGATTATTTAAGTCCCCGCTTCATTGACTATGTTGGGTAAACTCGTTCACATGGCTCTGTCGATGGAGCCATGTAGTCTAGACATACCCAGTGATGCATATGCTTAACCATGGGATAGAAGTGACATCTCAACCATAATCCTAGTATCACGACTGCAATAAACAGAAATGCACATAGTGCTACAGTACATAGTGTTCTGTATTATACAGTTATGGCCCTGATTTTTAGTCAGATTTCAATGTGCTCTCTCAGAGGCAGTACAGTAGCAAATGTGCGCTGAGTCAGAAACACAACTGGCTCGTGTGGAATAAAAAAGTTAGATGCAGAAGTGGGAGCAGTTGTACGTACAATTAATTAGTCCAGCAAAATGAGAAGCTATGGGGGGAATATGTAGTCTGATATATTGAAGATATATACTATCATTCCATACATATACTGTCATAAAGGTATTGAATAGAAACCTGTGCTCCATGTAACTAAAAACCATCATCTTCAAATATGTGGTGTATTCCTGATTTTACTCGCATCTATGTTAATCAGTAGTGACTCCACCGAAGTGTATGGAGAATACAGGGGGAAGAGTGGTGTGAGATCCACATTAGGTGAACAGTATCCCCAAAAGAGGGTTGTGTGTTCATTTTTGCAATGAGGGCAGGGGCAGCATGTGAAGTCTTCCCCCATCCCCCCAGGCGTGTAGTGCAAAGAGGCACATGGAGCAGACGGCTGTTTTGAGAGCCTCGGGCTGAGGTAGGCAGGGAGCCTTGTGATTTACTTTCACTTTCAGTCCCTTGGCAGAGCAGGATGGGTTCGTTTCTTGCATCTCTGCACCATCCTAATTTAGGTGCTCACCGCTTGTGCCTTCACATCAGAAGCTGCTGGAAACCAAGGAGTGACACAAGCACAAAGTCATTCCCTAACAGTGAATTATACAAATGTTTGGTAGGAATTATGAAGAACATGGGAAGATATCTGAAATGGTTTTATCAATGTGATATGTACATCTTCTATATGATTGCACCCATGTATTACACAGCACAATTGAGTTAATTCAGTCCTGGGTGGTTTTACACATCTGCAGAAAGGCAGACAATGGTTGTCAATCCCTGATAGTTGGCAAACAATATCTCACAAACATCCCACTCTCCCTACCTTTAATATCAGCAATTCACAGACACTTACCTTCCTTCCTCCCCCTTCCCACCCCCCCGCATCCCCCTTCTGTTCTGCAATGTGATTTGTCCTTTTCATATTTGTTCATTTTTTTAAATTGTATCCTTTGGTATATATGGTTGTGACTACTTTCTTCCACTATTTGATCTGAGGAAGTGGGTCTGGCCCACGAAAGCTCATCATCTAATAAACCATCTTGTTAGTCTTTAAAGTGCTACATTCTCCTTAGTCCAGGTTGCCTACTTACCTAATTTTCATAATCTAGTTGGGTAGAACCAGGACCCGTGCAGAAGAGTTTGAACAAAGAATCTGGAAATTATTTTAAAAAACTGAAGGTGGAAGGAGTTCTGCAAAAAAAGATTGAAACCTAGTTTCCAGAAGAGTGAGCGGTTAAGGGTTAAGTTGGACCTGGTTAGAAGGAAATGCTAAGCTTAGATAAGACACCATGTGTCTTTTATTATTCTGACCTTTGCCTCTCTGATTGCTTTAGTCTTATGCATAAATAAATAAAGGTTGAACCCCTCTAGTCCAACATCCTTGAGACCTGACCAGTACTGAACCAGAGAATTTGCCGAACCACAGGAGGTCAATATTGTCTAGCAGCATTACCAACATTTCCTCTGCTTACTGGGCTCTTAGAAGACATTGAGGGGTAAAATAGCGCTAAATAACAGCACAGAACATGGAAAGCCAGGACTGGTGGCTGTAAACAAACTTTATGGTGCCACCGGAAACTTGTCCACATCCATGATAAATGGACATTAAGCTCACTAAAATCATGCTGGGTCACGAATGTTGCCAGATCAGACAGTGCTGGACTAGAGAGATTCAACCTGTATTACTTTGTTTTGGGAAAAAAACTGATCAGGGTCACCGCCTTTTCATTTATTCATAGATTCCTGAATGGAATTCTGTAGCAGGGGACAAATATAGTTGGATCTGCTGGGGAAACACACTTGGTAAATAGGTACTCTGTAACCTGGAAATCTAATCAATACATGGGATGAATCACAGAATTCCACTCTTAAGAAGTATTGACACTGGGTCTGGCAGCAGTGGTACAAGAGAATAGGCCTTGTTATTTTCAAAAGGATTTCCTTTTCCAGAGAACTTGGAGCTGTCACTGAAAAGTTAACCATGCAGGTTGTTTGCTGCTGGTGGTTTTTTTTTTTTTTTTTAAACATTATATTCTGTTTGTGTGATGTTTATTTCTTTTTCCTGCACCACAGC